TAGCAGACGGCGGCCGCGATGCCTGCAGCGGTCTGCACACCAGCATAAATGCCGACGGTCTTCCAGTCGAGGCCGGGGCCACCCATGGCACGAGAGATGCCCAGCGTCACCGACACGGCCGGGTTGAAGTTGGCGCCCGAGATGCCACCAAGGGCGTAGATGCACACCATCAGCACGAAGGCGATGGACACGCCAGCCCAGGTGGCGGAGCCGCCCAGCACGTTGCAGCCCACAGTGAAGATCAGAAGGAAGGTGCCCACGAACTCCGCCGTGCACTTGGCGGCGATGCTTGGTTCTGCGGTCATGGCTGACCTTATGTGGCTTGCCGTAACTAATAAGGGCCCGTGTGCCTATACAGAATATACATATATATATATATATATATATATATATATGTGCGCACACATTATATATGTATGCATGCAGGTGTACCGTTGTGTTAGTTGTAACAACATGTTTGTCTGTGTGTGTATATATATATATATAATATAGATATATATATATATATATGTATGCGTGCATTCATATGTGTAAATATCAGTGTATGTATTTATATACACAGAATTTCGCTGTATGTGTGCGTATATATATATATATATATATACACAGGTAGACTGTGTTTAGGTTTTTATTTATCTGATAGTTAACCGCTTAGTTTGCTACTTCTCGATAACCATCTTACATGTATGTACATATGCAAACAGAAGCGCAGGTATCTATGCATTCTCAGACTTGTTTTACAATCATACATCCATGCATGCATACAACATGCATGCATACATACAGCCATACCTACATGGAATACAAATGGAATACCTACATGCAACACAAACAAACATAGATACATGAAGCACAAGCAAGCACACGTACATACGTATGCACACACGTATATATGGTGCAGCGTCGCCCGACCCTCCCCAATTATGCTTCCCTTCACCTGGCTGTGGTGCATGCCATGCTCCGCCACGGCTCTCTTGTAAAGGTGGGTGGGCTCATGCTGGCCCCGGCCCCCACCCGTGGTGTGTTCGTGGGTTTTGGGTTGTTTAGGTTTAGAGTTTAACCCCCCTCTCGCCCCCTGTGGTGTGGTGTGGTGTGGTGGTGGGTGTTGGGTTCAGGGTTTCGGGTTTGCTCTCGCACCCCCCCCCCTGTGGTGTGGGTGGTGGGGTTGTTTAGGGTTTATGTGAAAAGATATGAAAGGGTTTAGGGTCGAGGAAACCATGGCCCATCCAGGTGAGTGTCGACACCCCGACGAAGTTGCACAGACACTCACGAGGATCGCGTGTTCGGGGGGCCCATCCCTGTGACTGTTGGCACTTTTGAGACAAAAGTGACGACCCTGATAAGGATTTTGGGTGCTTCGACGCGGCGGCCCCCCTGTGGGCTGTGGGTGGCCTCATGCTGTGCCACGCTCCCCCCCTCCGGGTGTGGTCGTGGGTTTTGGGTTGTTTAACCCCCCTCGTCCCCCTGTGGCGTGGTGGTGGGTGTTGGGTTTAAGGTTCAAAGTCTGTGCCCGCACCGCCCCGTGGTGTGGCACTGGGTGGTCGGGTTGTTTCGGGTTTTGGTGCATATAGATATGAAGGGTCTAGGGTTGAGGATCCGCAGCTGGGCGCAGCCCAGACCGAAACCATGGCCCCTCCAGGTCGCCACTTTGGACACGACGAAGTTGCATAGCTTCAACAGTCACAACACTCACGAGAGTCGCGTGTTCGGGGGCCATCCCTGTGACTGTTGGCACTTTTGAGACAAAAGTGAAACCTCCACGAGGATTTAGGGTGTGTACTACCAGGGGGGGGATACCATGGGGGGGGGGTACCGACACGCGACACGGGACCATATATATATATATATACGCACATACATACACATACACAAACATACCGGGCATGAGCTTCTTTTCCTTGCTTTTGAATCGTTTCCCACCTCCTGATCCCGAAACCAGAGAGAGTGAGAGAGAGAGAGAGAGAGCAGACGCATCCGTATCTTTCTTTCGCTCTCAACTGATGGGGGAACCATATCTTTTTCAGAGCTCCGACTGTTGTCGCGCCTTGCAGCCTCTAAACAGGGGCGCGCCTCTCGGCGCGGGGTGCTTAAGACGCCTCCTGAACCCCGAAGTGAAGTGAAGTGAAGTGAAGAGCAGACGGATCCATAAGCCCGGCAGAAAGAAAGAGCAGACGGGCGTGCTCTTGCGAAGGGCATGCTCCCGAAAGTTCCCTCAGGCCTGGTGAAAGCAAGAAGGGAGAGTTCTCTGTAGAAGCGAAGGTAGATCCAGTTTACAGCGTTTAAGGGAGTCCGTCACGGCGTGTGAGGGAAGGAGAGTTTCTCGGCGTGAGTGTGTGCATGCGCGAGCGCTTTTTTCTTGCGCCGGCCGGCCTGCTGGTCGTGGCGACATGGCGCCGAGGCCATTATACATAGCTTTGAAGGCGTTTGACGCCGCAAGGGCGAAGTCTGTCTTCGACAAGAACTGCACCCTAGTTGCATGGAGGGCTGCATGCAGCACTGGCATGGTGCACAATGGTCAGCGGAGAGTCTGAAGCGGGTCATATCATAGTCGAATCAGAGTAGTTAGTGAACAGCTCTTCGTGATTCGGCATGGAAAGGCAGGCCTCGTGCTTTGTCCATGTTGCTTGCAACAACCAATTCGCTGTCGCCGAGGCCATTTCTATATGACTGTCATCTCCAGGCAGATCAGCTCCATTCTGGGCGAGTAGTTCAATTCCCAATGCTCCTGCTTTGGACCGAAAAGAATGCCCCTGCCAAGCTGCTGTTGAGCTTGCGTTCCGGCAATCCCGGCACAGACAGCTGCAGAAGTGGCCGGATGCCTCATGATGTCATGAGCCCATGTTGTGACGGCAGGCACTGAAGTTTGGCAGTGTCCCAGCCATTGCCTCGGAATGGTGTGGTGGGGTCAGGTCCAGTGCAAAGAGCACTCAGGATGAGGACGACGCACGTCTGGAGAGCAAGGCAGCCGCACTGCGCCGGCCTTTGCTCGAATGCGCTTCTTGCTCGTCGCAGCTTGAACTCATCGAGGTTGAATCTGGTCAGCCATGGCGCTTTCGGCGAAACTGAAAAAGCAGACTCAAAGGACCAGAAAGCAAAGCCAGGTGAAGCCGCCGCCTCGGCCGCGGACATGCCGACCTAGCTTTGTCTTTCGGTAGGATCAGATGCTTAGGCCGCGCAGAGGATCATTTCCGTCTTGAGTCCGGCCCTTTGCTGTGTCGCTGTGAGCCGCTATGCCGAGGCTGTACCGCCAAGAAAATTTATTGCATCGGACTTGGCGAGTAATCGTACTGCTGAGCCGTGCCGTAGTGGACGAGCTCTCTTTGGTCGGCTTACTTCTCCCAATAGCGTGGTAACAAACAAGATCTTGTGTCCAGAGTATAAACGGGATCTGGGGTCGGGTTGAAGATATGGGATCAACCACCATCGCCTCACGAAAAGTGCATAAAACGTGAGAACAACCGCCATCGGGGTCGAGTTTTTGATATGAGATCAGCCGCCGGCGCCTGATAAGGCGTCGGGTCTAAGGTGTGAGATGAACCTCAGTCGCGCAAGAAATGGGATCGACCGTCCATCACCCAAACAGTTGGGTTCATGAAATGAGATGAAATGAGACAACCGCGATCGCCGGATGGGGGTCGGGGTAGAGACTGAAGGTCAGCTTCGTAAATGGGAACGGACCTGAGCATCCACACTTGGCCTAGCATCAAGGTCCTCGTTGACTGGAGAATCCGTGCTTGGCGTTTATGAGCTCAAGCAGTGCCCTCCTCACACCCCTGCCCTCCTCCTCCTCCTCCTCCTCCTCTGCCTCCGCCTCTGCCTCCGCCTCCTCTTCCTAGTAGTGCAGCATGGTCGCCATCTAGGGCGTATGTTCTGCACGTTGTAGCACGCCTGTCCTCTGTGAAGGTGCAGTTGCCCAGCCGGAAGATGGAGATCCAGAGGCTCTGATGGTTAAGTCTGCTTGTTGAAGCCATGCCGGCATGCAGCAGTGGCCTTCTGCAGCGACCTGTGAGCAGAGCATGCGGTGCAGGAAGCTCGTGGTACTAAGCGAAAGCAGGAAGAGAACGCTGTCGCTGAGTCCGGCGCAGAGACAGAGACAGGACGTGTGCCAGTGTGGCCGTCGCCTCTCTGAGGTCTCCGGCCGTTGTCTTCGAAGAGCCCTTGGACTGGCAAGTGCGACTCCGCAAGCTGAACTTTGGGAGCCGCTGGCACGCTTAGTCGCTGGGCATGGATCAAGCCCAGCCGTCAGAGTTGAAAGGCTTGCGTGAGTTGTGCCCGGGCAAAAGTCTTCACAGATTTGCACTCGAACATTGATCTGCCTCTGTCGCTCTGCGCTACGGCGAGCTTACCCTGCAGCCGGATCCTGCCAGGGTGGATCCCATCAGCTTAGACATGATTATCAAATGGGTGACTGAAGCTGCGGAGGATTTCGGCTTGGTCATCGCGCCTCGAGGGTGCTCTTGTCAAACCTCGTCTGCATCTCGCCAGGACAGCCAGGCCCAATTCTCTGCAGACACCGGGCAGCAGCAGGTACCGGATAAACTGTGGTCGGTGCAAGCCTGCTCGCCCAAGGAGATCATCAAGAGCGGAATTGCAGAATTTCTTCGCCGGTCTTCGAAAGAGGCCATCCCAGAGGCACGCCGGTGTGATTGCATGTAGGGAGAGGAAAGTAATGTTGAGCAAGGGAGCGGAAGAGCGTGGGCCGAAATCTGAACTTGTGACGTCCATTGGTCTTCCTGCCTCCCTCCCCCGCTCGCACCTCTGCCTTTATCTCGCTCTCTTTCCCTCTCTCTCTTAGTCTCTCTCTCTGTGTGTGTGTGTCGCTGTGCGTATGTCTACACACCAAAGACAACAAAACTAAATGCCGGAAGACAGCTATCATCTTGTCTTAATCTTGTCTGACCAAGCCGAGGTCCTGGTTCGCGAGCGGCAAGCCTTCACAAATAAGCTGAAGGCCGGGGAGTCAAGGGGCCCGTTGATGCCCGTTGCTCTGCAGTAAGTCAAACAGCCTTAAGGCTTCGGCTTCTCGTGAGGTTGTAGCTTCTGAGCTTCGCAGCATCCTGAGAGCTCCGAAGCGCCGAGGAAGCTGGATTTGCGGAGATGGCCAAGGCACTCTGGTTCTGTCATCCGAGTTCCTTTCTGAACGACGCTGAAGATGCTGAAGTGTGTTAGCTGTGCGCTTGTGGTCAGGGACCAGGGCTAGGCTTGCGATGGCTTGCGCAGGCTCTGGATCTGGCCATACGATCCATGCAGTTTTCAGAGAGACTGCAGAAGGGCTCGCCGCAGACGTGCCCGAAGCTCAGGATCTGCGAGTCGAATGCTGCTGTTTCTGCCTTCTTCCGCTACTGCATTACCAAGGCCTGAACATGCAGACCAAACAGTCGATGCCTGCCTACATGAACATGGTGGTTAGGCGCGTGGGGAGGTTCCTTCTATTCTATGAAGACCTGTTGCTGCCGGCGAGGGGCTGCGATCGCCAGGGCTGGCCGATGCGCCGAGATCCCAGGCCACAAGAACTCATGGGTGTTCTACAAGCCGTTGTCCAGGTCGAGTCTTCCTTGGTCACTTGAGCCGCGTTGCTTCAAAGTCCGCGGAAGGAAGCACCTCATGCAAGCGTTATCCCGCCGCGTTTGAGCAATGCATGCTGTGACATGAGTGCCCTTCAGGAGAGGCCGATGGCTCAGCACCCTCCGAAGCCCTGATTGAGTTTGGAAAAGCTGGTGGCTGGAAGTACGTGATGTCATGGCTGGACGAAGAGCCGCAGCCGACGACTTGGCCACCGTACTCTGTGCTGGATGAGCTGGGAAGCAACATACCTAGTCAAGCTCCCTTGAAGCTCTTTGCGCTGCTCCACAGAGCGCTCACACATCCGGGATTCGCTGCCTCAATGGCTCCCTCACTAACAGGTCTTCCAGCACCCTGCTTGTCTCGCTTGGAGAGACAGTTGACAAGAGCCGCCGCACCTGCCCTCGATCTCAACTTGGACGAGCCTCGTGATGAGAAGCTCCAGCGAAAACTGCAAGACATCGCAAGTCTAGGTGGTCAGGTTGGAAATCTCTTCGAGTTCCTGGACAAGCTTCTGACATTTGCATCAAAAGTTAGGCATCCGAAGTTGGGGGACGGCACTCCCGGGACGACAGCATGGCTGGACCTGCAATCCGAGAGCAGGGATCTGGTCTCTGCTTACAAAGGTCTTGCAGACACTCCGGCCTTTGGCTGGACTTCTGTTCTCAAACTGGTCGCAGGCTTGACCCAGGACTTGGACGAGATCATCAGGGAGAACATAAAGGGAGCACAGCAGCGCGAGGCAAATGCAAAGGACGAGGAGAGAGCGCGGCTTCTTGATGAGGCCAAAGCACGCGTGGAGGCAAACACTGGCACGGTCATTTCACTGCTTGCGAACGGAAAGCTTCGCGACAGGAGTTCCTCAGGTTTACAGGATTGCTTAGGGAAGATGAAGCGCCTGGGTGATTCCATGCAGCATCTTGAACAGCTTGACAAGTCTGAAACGTCTTCGCAGTCCGTGGACACCTGGGAAGCGGGCCGTGCGGCTGTGAAGGGCTTCTGCCAGCTGAAGGTCCGCTGCTCCAAGGCATTGCATTGGCTTCAAAAGAGGCAACTGGGCCACTGTGCCAAGCTTCTCGATTCTGCCGGCCTCCTGGAGAGTCTCGAACTTGTGAAAGATGCCCAAAAGCTGAAGACTCTGGGTGCAGCTCTCAGACTCACGAAGAAGCCCGGGTTGCTACTTTTTGCAAGGGTCATCTCTCACTGAAGGCCTTCCCTTTCGGTGTCAAGAACTTCTCGTATCGTGCGCCGAGAATGATGGGCTGTCTGCCGGCCACCTGGAGCCGAAGTTGGAAGAGGTGGACGAGCTCGGCTCACACGTCCTTGCCACTCTGTCTCGGAATCTGCCAGGTGCCCGATGTCTGGGAGCACGAGCCTCGTAACTCCTGGAGTCGTCTGCGGACAGACACCAAGACATCAAGGACATAGGTAGGAGTGTCCGTATGGAGGCAGAGGACGTCTCGGAACTTGAACCTGCAGTACTTCCAAAAAGTCCCATGCTCGGTACAATTGGCAATCGATGTTCAAGCGACTATTCGCGACTTTACAAGGTTGGTTCGTCGGCCATGTCGTGGGCAAGGGCCCTGGTGTTACAACTGCCCCGTCTGCGGGCTATGGATATCTGTGGTCGGACGCAGGAATGGCCTCTGCCCACAGGCCTGGTTGCATGGAGGCCGCAGCTGCAACTTCTGACTTTCTCTTCAGCGCCAACAAGCGGCTCGGAGGACGGATGGCAGCGCCGGGGAGATGCTGCAGCAGCAGGAAGAGGTCAGATGCCATCTTCAAAAGCTTGATGCTGTCTATGCCAATGCTTCTTACCAGACAACAGGACCAGATCTTGGCCAGTGCACGACGAATCTCTGGGCCCCTTGCCCAGAGCGTCTAGGATTCGTGTGTTGCTGGATTTTCTTCGCGTGCAGGGCGCCCAAGCCAGGGTGCCCAGCCTTCGTTGCCGAAGGCGGTGGCATGCATAGATCTGCTTTGCCAATCGCGCCTGTTCAATCTGAGAATCTGTCTCGTGCAGAGTCGCCTGCGGCCTCGGTTCCTGCAGTTGCTCTGTGCAGGATCCTGTTTGCTGTGCCAGCAAGATGCGACGGACTCACATTGGGCATCGCCAGAACATAGCCTGGCGCTTGGAGCCACAGCCTTCAGTGCCTGCTCTTTGTCTCTGTAGGGGAGCTTCACGCAAAGTCGCTAGGTAAGCCTGGAGCAGTTCGGTCTGTTGCAAGCTTTCCAAGGAAAGCACGCAGCTTACTGGAAACAGCTAGCCGATCGATTGGCGATGATCTGTGTCGACTTGCAGCGCCTCCCCGAGGAGGCGAGTTCTCTTTTGAAGATCAGGAGACCTGCGGTTCAGGCTTAGGATTGAGGCATCCCGAGCTGAGGGCGAGTCCCATTCGTCTGCTACAAGCCTCCGACGCTCGTTCGCACAGGCTCACAGGGAAGTTAAGTAGCAAAGGAAAGTTGATGGAGGAAGCCCGTTTCCCGCCAAAATCAGACAAAAGTCCGTCTCTGAAGCCCATCACCGAAAGAGGCATCATTATCACGTCTGAGAACGACTGTTACTGTAGACACCTGTCATCCGCATGCTCACGCTTGCACGTTTGACGAGCAGCAGTGCAAGACCTGTTAGTGAGCCCAAGTTGCGTCCTGCCCTGGCAGGCATCCCAATCTGGTCTGGCATCTGCTTGGCGTGGTGAGCTTTGGCAGGTGCAGCGATGGAGTGTGCTTGTCCGCGAGCGACGGCATAGTGCCGTCCCCTTTCACACTTCAGGGTGTGCCTTGTGTGTCAGGGTTGGAAGGGGATCGGGTTCCAGGGTCAGCCCGGGTCAGAAACAGACAGCATGGAAAACGGGGCAGGCTGATGCAGGATCGATGTTCACATGGGACATGCATTGCTCCTCTCATCAATGTCCTTCCTCCCGGCAGACCAGACAAGACGTGAATGCCTTGCTCTTGACTACGTGTTGCTTAGTTTTCCCTCTGTCCTTATGCATCCGCGAAAGTCAGTAGATGTGGTTTTGGTTGGGCTCCTCGAGGCAAAGTTTGGTGCGCCCTTCCATGTATCATCCATCGCAAGGTGTGTTTCAGGGTCTTGCGCAGATCGCCGTCGGGATGCTGAGGCATGGATAAGAGAATCCCAGGCCTTCAATGCGTAACAGGAGGCATTATATTCTAGTTATAGTCACCAGGAAGGCTCCCCATCGAGCCAGGAGAAGGACATCACCACCACGAACCTTTACGACTCACTCTCTCTCTCTCTCTCTCCCTTTCCCTTCGCTCCCTCTCCCTCAGATGGCACGTGTTACACCCGCTCCATCTGGCAGTAGATTCACTGTTCAGCTAGCTGTAAAGAGTTGCACCAGCTAAGTGTTTGTGCCCGACTCTGTTAAATCCTCCTGGACTGTACTCCAGCCTCGATCCAGTCTCTCTTACTCATATCCAGTCATTCGGTCCAATTGGGTAGGTTGTGTTACGAAAGCTGAAGGCACTCTCTAATTCTGACCAGGACGTCGCGGTCCGAGATTTCACACGCAACTTCAAAGAGAGACACAGAGACAGTGATAGGCAGACCGACAGAGAGAGAGAGAGAGAGAATAATAAAGTAGCCCTCTGGACCCCGTAAGAGAATTGAAGTGAATAATAAAGTAGTCTTGGAAAGTAAGTGATCCCGTGCACATGCTTTCACAATCCCGTCAACACCCCATAACAAATGGGGAGCACATGCGGCCACGGCCCTGTGGAAGAGGTATGTAGACAATCGAGAGAGCCAAGCGACAGCGAAGACCTTCAATGTCCTTACTGCGGAAACATGACTGCACATTTCCTTCCCATGCTGGTCCTTCCCCACCTTGACTTTCTGCTATCTATTGCCAAGAATGTCTGACGTTCCATACAGGGTCTTGCGCAAGAGTGTCAAGACATCTTGCCACAGCTTGGGGTTTCGTGTCTGTGCAGTCTCTGACTTCTAAATGAAGCTGCACTTCATTAGTTGTTTCCTTCCTCCCATCTCGGTCCGTAAGGGTTTACAATCACTGCTGGGAAGACTGGAGGAGTTGAGAACATCCCAAGAAAGTCATTTCTGTCTTTCAATGATCCCCTCATGTCAGGTGGAAGTTGAGTAAGTGAAGCATTATATTAGTGCTGCGTGCCAACATGAGGGCTTCGGGCTAGCAGGGCCCTGAGAACTACGAATCGACATGACAGTCGACATGCTTCAAGGGTGCGAGTCGCAGGCCTTGCGGATGCCGCCTTTGCCCCCAGCTGCTGCAGAATCCTCAGTGTTTCCATGTGTTTCCAAGTATTTCAATTGGTAAGGATCGCAGGCTGGTAGTTGTGACAAGTTGGGGTCCCAGTCTTGTAGCCTCGCTAGCTACGGGCAAGCAGTGCTCTGCGCAGAGCCACCGCAAGTCAATGAAGGAGGGGATCAAATTGCGGAGCATAGTTGCTGAGGTCTTGGCAGTCTTTTGGCGCAGGGTCGTACTTTGGAGCCTCTCAGCTTCATGCCCGACTTTGTCAGATCATGATGCTGCCTGCCCGGCTCGTTTCCAGATTCCTGCTCAACCTGTGCGGGATTGTTGCTTCGGGCAGGACACTGTGGACGGCTTGAGAGAGCGCCTGCAGTTTGCTCTGTCCGTCCGGGCCTGGGGCTGACTTGCTGCATGGTCAGCAACCAGTGGCGTTTGAGGTTGCGAAGATCGCGGAAAAGGAACAGGATCGCAGAGAAGAGCACGAGCGCGCTTTGGCAAAGGCAGCCCTTGTTTGCGACCGCAACGCTTGCAAGTGGGTCAGCATCAATGTAGAAGCTTCAGGTGAAGGCTCAAGCTGCGAAACTCGACACTCAGCCTCAACGATGTAGCACGAATATACGGGACATTTGTTGAGTTGGAGCAGCAGTATGTGGCGACACAAGGTACCATTGATTGACCCTGATCGCCTCCGTCCGAGCCCAAGTGTGCTGCATTTATGCAGGCACCGGTGGTTTCATAGATTAGGCAAGAAAGCAGCCCACATTGCGGAAGCTGCTCCATCCTTACGAGTTTGGACAGTCAGAAGCTCCAAGTGCAGTCGGTGTTGCGACACAGGTGGCGGCCATCAAGGAAGCACGTCTTGCTCTTGTCGCGGCACCTCTCCACACAAGGTGCCAGTACAAGCTTGGAAGATCTTCGAAATCGCTACAGTTCTCCTGGACAGGTCCCCTTCCACCGCTTACGCCATAGCAACACTTCGGCGATCTGAGGCTCGCCGCTGCCGAGGAGAGAGGGGAGAGCTTGCGTGGTTTTGTTCAGCATTCGTTACACTCTGCCGCTGCCACTTGCCCGTTGACAGCACCTACCGACAATGGCGGCTCGAGGATTGCGCGATACGGTACAGAGTCCACATTCGAGCCAGCACATCCCAGACAGACAGATACGTGCCCCTCACTCCTCAGCGATCTGGTGTTCAGCATGGGTGCCGGTCCTCCGTCTGCCCACCGTGCGGTCCTCAGCTGGTGGCCTTCGGCAGGATTCGTGACTAAATCATCTGCATCAAGGCCACCAACATCCCCAAGTATTTGAATTTGAAGCCGGTACGAGGGCACTTACCATTCCAGAAACTAGAAGGCCCCGTTCCATCAAGCCAATCAGTTGGGCAGCTACTGCAGTGCTGACTGTGTGGAAGGATCGCATGTTGCTGTCCCCGAGACCAGATGAACCGTTAATGTTTGTCCTTCTGGTGTTACTTGTGTTAATCTCAAGACAAGTCTTTCTGAAGTGTGCTCTGTTCGATATCCGATATTCTAGACAGCGGCTTCACCCTTCTGAAGCGATAGCCGAGCAGCCAAGATGTTTTGACCACTGCGGCATCGTGTCTCGTCCACGTCCCTTGCTGGTGTGGTCGTAAGTGAGGCCGAGACGTTGCGAGACAGAGACTGTCGAACCCTCAGCGTTGTCATCTCGCTTGGTTTCACCTCACGACTGGCTTTCGGCTCGACTGTGGCTTTGGACCCACTAAAGAAGTGAGCTTCTGTCGTGAGGTCGGCTGCTTCAGTGGCTGTCTCGACATTGGGGTTATGGACGTTGACATTGGGGACTTGTGCCTGGGTGCCTCCGCAGTGTGGCCTTCCTCGAATCGCCCGTTCTGCCTACCGGCCACCACAGGACGGAGTATTCAAACACCAAGCCGATCCATGAGCTAAAGCCAGAGCCACTCTGTGTTGCTAAGCCACTAAACCAGCTCGGCACATGCTTCCACCACGAGTCTGCAAAAACGGGCGTCACGCTCCTGGCAACACCAGCAAGGAGCAATTGGCCATGGTGGCCGCTTCGCTTCGCAGAGAACGCGCGATGATCGAGGAGAAGAAGGAGCAACTTCAGCGGATCCACAGCTGCAATGGGGGGATGCGAGGCATGCAAAGGAACCTTGGTGTGCGATCGCAAAAACATGGCATTGTACTATTTTCTGTCCCATCGGTCAATGAGGACTGCTGCTATACTATCGAAGGAGAAACGACGGATCGAGGTGGAGCAATGAAGTTAGATGAAAAGAGACCCAGTGCACGGCAAGTGCAGTACGTGTGATGGAGTCGCTGTAGCCGGATCGTGCATGCATCTCCTGCTTTCAACTCTGGCCTGTTGGCAGGGTGAATTGACAGAACAGGCGATCGAACTCCAGGAGTTTAAGTCCAAAGCGGAAGCGACACTGAAAGCAGAGCGAGCGGCGCTCGAGAAGGAGAAAGCTCGCCTGGCCAAAGAGTCCGAGGCACATCGAAGTGGAGTGGATCGGTGCAACCACAGTTTGATGCGCCCGGCTTTGTGCAGGCAGTTTGGTCGTTGTGATCGTGTTGTGTGTGCGTGTGTGGGTGTCTGTTTGACACGGCACCAAGTCAGCACCCTACAAAAAGGCTAAGAAAAAACCTTTGCGACAGCCTTGCTAGATTGCTTTTCCACAAGGTTTGCTCTTTCAGTGAATGTATACGGCACACGGACAGCTGAACCACAAGCTCTGAGCTTGTGGACGTGGGGGTGCCGCTACGACCTAAAAGACGCAGTCTAGTGAGATGGCGCTTGAGGGACCCTCGCGGATTCGGGGGTTTGTCTGCTTCGGCTGCCATGCCCTTTCGCAGACAAGGAGATAACAGACCTGCTTCGCAGGTTGTAGGAGGTCTGGCTTGGAAATGGACAAAACCAACGCCCGCCGCTTCGGAAGTGCCCGAAGACACAGGTGTGAACCACACATCGACTCGGAATGGAAGTTATCGTGGGAGCGGGGAAACAAGGATGTTGACGTTCGGAATTGCAATGGGCGCGTGGGGGGAGGGCTGAGGGGCAGGTGCAGACGGAACGAGAGCAGTGACAAGCAAAGTATGTGATCATCTGTCATCTATGCTTCTGCCTCTTCCTCGGCAAATCTTGCAAAGACCAAGCATAGGCAGTGCGATGCGCTGCAGCACTGCTCAGAGAAGGTAAACCGCAGTCTGCATTGGTTTGAATTTGAGACTTGGCTGACAGGCTCTCGCACTGACGCAGCAGTCCCTCATGCAGCGAGCCGAATCAATGAGCAAGAGCCAGCCTCAGTTCTTGGTGCAAAGAAAGAGATAGAGTCATCGCGAGTTGAGTTTCAAGTACTAGGTCTGCCAAAGATGCCGACAGCAACGAGCAATCCCTCGAGCTTATTGAGGCTGTGAGGCGTGAGAAGGCCTCGTCTTCGCAGGTTTCGGAAGTAAGCAGACACGGTGCATTCTCGTGGCAATGCGCGATGCCTGTATCATGCAATCCCGCAAAGGCGGCACTGAAGCGAGGGAGGCAGCAGCTAAGGCGAGAAGCTGAGGCTCAGGGCGGAGAGAGAATAGGGGAAGAAAGCTCACGGGCCAGCGCTCTTGTTGTTGTGACATTGTGGGCAGGCGATAGCCGAAGCCAGGCGCCAGCTGGAGGCAAGCATGGACCGAGGCCAGCACCGATTTACGTCGATGCCCCCTCCCTCTTATTTCCTCTCTCTCCCTCTCTCCCAACGATTCTGTCGCCAGGACAGGAGCTCGGGGAACTGCGAGCAAAAGCAGAGGCCCTGGAAGCCGAGGCCCGGGTTCGGGTATGTTCGGGTTGGGGCGGGGGATGCGTCCTTGCCGCGAGCCGCAGCCGCCAGAGCTGCAGGCTGACACCCTACGACGTGAGCGCACAGCACTTCAGAAGCAGCGTGCAAGGATTCATGCTGAAGCCGAGGAGCATGTCGACCCTCAGACGGCGCAGTGCTTAGTAAGACACAGTGCTAATGTATTTTGATGACGTGATGGAAGGAGATTGCTGAAGAGCGAGAGAGCTTGGAGAAGGAGGCCAAAGCTCTTCATCGAGCAGTCGCACGAGGCTCCGACAGATACAACCTGGTGCATATGAAAGACGATCTAGGGCTTTTTTGCTTCTTCTGGACCACTGTGGGCCTGACGGGCCTCTGCGAGGTGAAGAGGTGGGAAAGGCCGACAAAGATCTTCAGGCAGCGCTGCGTGCTGCGGTGGCTTTGCAGAATAGTTGGAAGCTTCGCAGAGTGCGACTGGATGTCGGCCACTACAATCCCTGGTCCTCTCCTTCCACTTCTTCCACTTCCACCCCTTTCAGATTCAGATTCGCACAGTGCAGCGGCTCAGGAACAGCAGCTTGCGCAACAGACAGCAGAATTTCGTGGCTCGGCATCGCACATCTCTTAGAGACTTGGTGAGTTAGTTGCTCATGTCACCCAGCTGCTGCATCGAGTAATCGTCATGCTTCTGCCCGTGATATGCGTCATCTGACGAAGGCAACTTCAAAACCCGAGTGGAGCAGCAAGAAAAGTCTCTTGGTCAAAGGGCCTTGGCCAAAGCGGCAACGCCGCTCCTCTCCGTCCTTGACGACTTTGGCAGAGCTCGGCTGGCTGGAAACTCCATTGGACACTTGCAGCAATTTTCCAATTGCTTTTAAGTGGAGATCTGCCAGATGCAGTGCTGTCAGGAGAAGTTCAGGCAGTTTTGCGTCCGCTACGAAATCGCCTGGTGGCTCCTGGCATTGACTTGTTGGCTCATGTTGGCTGCTGACACAGTATGGGACTTTATACGTATCTATCGAGCACGGTCACCGGGATTCGCCTCTGAGTTGGACCCCAGGCTGTTCTGGAGTCGGAGTTCGGCGTCAGGCCGATGCCCGACACTGTTGGCCAGGACAGTGGTTGGAATTGGGATGCGCTGGGGTAGTGTTGGGGTAGTGTTGGGGTGTTGCGCGCCGGAACTGACAGGCGTTCAACCCAAAGCTCCACGACGCAATCTCCATCAGAGCCGAGGATCGAGTGCCGAAGACGCAGTTATACGCAATTCACGACACGCAGCATAACGCAACCCGATCAGGAGAGTGTGTCTCAGGCGAACCCAGCCGGACAGAACTTCGAACATGTGGCATTGGCTAGATCTCAACGCTTCAGAAAGCACATGCGCTTCGATGCGGATCGCTTTCCAACGGATCACCTGTACTGTCGAGCGGCGTCCAAGACAATCCTTCAGAGCTCACACACACACACACACACGTGCTGCATCATTGACCACTCATGCGAGCGGGTTTAGCGCGAGAATGCATGTTCGTGGATGTCTCGAACTTTGGTCTTTCAATCGCAGCAGTGCTGACAACACAGCATGCCCAAACGCCGAAGTCGGCCAAATTACAGAAGGAGAGGGTGCATACAATGTGCATACAAGCGAGTCTATGCAACAGGCGAAAAGCATGTAAAATTGCGGTCAGACTTTTTCCTTGATGAGGTTTCATTGACTCAAAGTGTACGTAGATATTTTTCTTTGGCGAATTCGGCCAGGCAGACCTGCTAGCCCCATCGGGCTAGTGTCACTTCTGTTCTAAAGGTGCCTCCAGACACCGTGGTCGAGCAGCTGGAAGAGGGCTTCTGCTTCGGTGATTCAGATGAGGTTCTACGACCAGCAAAGGCGCCGCTGTCACAGCTTTGTTGCTATGTTGCACGAACGAGAGGGACAGGCTCACGGTTGAGATTTTGTGCACATCAGGCTTCCATAGCCTTCACGCAAGTTCCGATCAGTCCAAGCTTTGGGTGATCGCATTTGCTGCCAGGTGATAGTTTCCAGTGCAATGTGAGGGTAGCACCGAGATATTGTTTTTTAAGTGAAGGCATTGCATCTGCCCTTTGTCTGCAATTTTCAATGCCATGCCTAAGCCCGCCTCGAAGGGGGGTATACTAGATTGCACCATGAAGTGTGCACTTGCCCGGCATGTCATCTCCCCAAGGGAGCAGTTTCAGCCTCGTTTTCGTTGCCATAGACGCTGGGTTCGCACAGAAGGTACAGGATTGTACAGCGGCGTCGAGCAAGCATGAATAAAGCCCTGCGCCCACCTGCCTGTCCTTTGCGGGACCCCACCTTCTGCCCTTATCGGCACCGCTCCAACATGCAGGCGGCCATCCAGAAAGCATGCTTGGAGCCATCCTTTCACGTCAATGTGCGGTCCTGGCTGCGCAAGCATCAGCTTCTTGGTACGATTTTAGGCCAGACGTGTTCCACATTGTAGAGGCAAGGCGAACATGTCTTGTAATTTTGCATTGGCAAGGCTGGACAGCTGTTTCGATGTACTGGTCGTCAGAGGCTGGGGTCGTTTCTTCTCCAGCTGCAGTAGAGCCAGCAGCTAGCAGCTAGAATAGCCGGAAGGCCCAACCGGCCGTTATTCCTGGCACTCTAGCCACGGCAGTCACTGTAGGTCGACTGCAAGCTCGAAAGTTTATTTTTCCGTCAGGTGTTCTCGAATCTCTCCAGCTCAAGGAAACGCTTCAGGCCCGGATATAGACACACAGAGGGTGCCGGCACAGGAACGGGGGAAGCCCCCTGTAGAGCCTGGAGGCTGATGCAACCCAGAGCTTGCCCGGAAGATTTGTCGATGCGTTGGCGAAGGCCCCTCTCGCAGCCTGTTGATGCCCGTGGGGCTGCCGGCCTAGTGAAGCGATGTCCCGTGAGGCATTGTATGAAGGTGGTGATCTTCGCCGTGTGCATGGAACAAGACAGCTGCCAGACGGCTGGGTCCGCACGGCTAGCCCTTGTGAAGCTGCTCATTAGAGGATTCCTTGTGCCAATCTGCCAGGAGATGGTCTACTCACGCAGTGCAGGCACTGGGCCCAGAAAAAGGCCGCTACGACTTGCATCCAACAGCATCGAGGTCTCTTCTATTACCACGAGATTCACAAGAGCGGGGCGCAGAACGGGCGAACACAGTGGCAGTTTCCAGATCTCCAGGCCGAGTCTTGGTAAAGTCCATGAAGAGAAGGCTGTTCCGCCGTTGGCACGTGCGGGAGATGGGGTCGACTATAGGCCCGGGTGACTGCGTTCTTCTTTTCGGATGGGGCTCCGAGTCTGGTGCAGTTTGCATCGTTTCAGAGTACTTAAAGACTACCCTTACATTGGAAGACAGCAAAAGCATGTACAAACTATGAAAACGTACTAGTAGCAGTGAGCAGTGAGAAAACCTAGCGAGCACAGGCTTTGCACTCTCCAAGTCGGCTCTACCCGCAAACTCTCCAGATCATTTCCGGAGCCACATGGGGGGAAAGGCCTCAAGCAAGATAGTACGGCAGACCAGCGAATCTTGTTTGATAAGTCTCTGTTCACCAAGGAGTCCAATCCTCCCGAAGTTCCGAATGCCTTGACGTGTGAAAGGCAGGCCTGCTGGTCACCTTTGTGCCGCTACTTGTTGCAGAGTCGTCAGTTGACAGACCAGCACATGTTCATCTTCGAACCAGGGGCGCCCCTTCCAACAGCGTTCCATACGTGGAGCTGGATAGTGGAGGCTGGAGAGCTTTGCAGGGTAGACTCGGCATAAGCAGGTTGTTGTTATTGTTGCTGCTGCTGTAGAAGTAGTAGTCAGTAGTAGTAGCAGTAGTCGTCGTCCAGTAGTAGTAGTAGTAGTAGTAGTAGTAGTAGTAGTAGTAGTAGTCGTGGTGGTGGTGGTGGTGGCAGTGGTAGTCAAGAAGTTAAAGTTAGCGGGAGCAGGCAGCCGTTCGTCGATGCCGTATACTTCCAAATCACGTCAATGTACAAGTTACAAACTACGAAAACACAGAACTTATCGGCTCCTAACACGCCGCTAGGAACCCTCTAGGACTTAATTGTTACGCATGCTCCTGACATGTCTTTTAGGTAGGCACCGGAATTTAAAAAGGCAATCGCATGGAAGCCCTGGCTCTCCTTATGATAAAACGAAGCGAGCACAACATGATAGTTACCCAAGCCTGGCTAATCATGCAACTACAGTGCTTATCCTTGGAAGCCGAATGGCTCACACACTGACTATGTAGCAGTAGTAGTAGTAGTAGTAGTAGTAGTAGTTGTAGTAGTAGTACCAGCGGCAGTAGTAGCAGTAGCAGTTGTAGTTGTAGTTGTGGTTGTGGTTGTGGTTGTGTTTGTAGTTGTTGTCCGTGTCGTTTTCCTTGTCGTTGTCGTTCTGCTGCCGCTGCTGTTGTGGTTGTGGTTGCGGTTGTTGTGGGTGTTGTTGCTGACGGATTAGCAGTGTATCTGGTAGCATTAGCAGCCCATGGCAGCATCCCTTTCCTTGCCAGAGGTACAAGCATGGCGGCATTTGTGTTTTTGCTTGTTTATGACATTTTATGACTGGCAGGGGAGCCTCTGTGCTTGCTGTGCGGGCAGAGAGGCAAGGCTTGCTGCTTGCGCAGCATCCGTATCGTGCTTGCATGATTACTGCGGCAAAACTCTGAATCGGATCGTGCAAATACTTGCTGCACAGCTTGGGATGCTCATGATCACGGTGGCAGTTAGCTTTGCAGGTTTGGAACACTTTGCGGGAGCTGCTCACGCAGACAAGGTTCTGGCATGGTCCGGAATTCACCAACGCAAGTGCTCCCAGTTGCATACCGTTGAGAGTTGCAGGCACCAGAGACTGTGTTTCAAACATGAGGAGCGGCGGTGTGCATGGTTTTGTGCAAATCCAACCTGCCAGATCTCCACTAGTCAAGATGCGTTACAACCCAGTAAAATCCAGTAAAAGGATTAAGACGTACAAGGCCAAGGTTGGCAGAGAGGCAGAGGATAGAGTCGATGAGAAGGCTGAGCCAATTCGGAAACCCAGCCCCAGAAAACGGAAACAACGGGAAGGATGTGAGGTTCAAGAGTTTGGAGTCTCGAGTAGGGTTCAGGGCGCTGTCTGCCAGAGTCGTTTGATTTTCTCCGCATGTTTGTGTGTCCTAGTGTGTGTCCTTGCATTTTCGTGCTTCTCTGAATTGGTACTCCTTGTTTCGCTAATGCCGTGGTTAGCGGCCTGGGGAACACTACTTTCGGCTGGGGGGTGCGGGTGGCTACAGGCATGTTGGAGCTATCTTTAACGAGTCGTTGTCCGCAGTCGCTGTCGGGTCAAGCGAGTACTTCTTTTGTTGGTGTTATGCCATGCCGGCCAACAAGACAAAGTGCTGCGGCCTTTGTGGCAAGCTGGGACACCACACCCAAAACCCACAAATGCAAAAGCACAAACATGTGAGCCTGACACGAAGACCTGAACACAATGAGAACCCTGCTACTTTTGAACGGCACACCGCATTCGAGCCAGCTTGAATTCCTAGAAAATAGAAGACTGAAAAAGACACTCTCAACGTGCGAACACTGCCACACGTGGCTGAAGGCCACATTTCCTGCTGCGAACGGCCAGCAGCTGCTAACAACCTTGTTTTAGTAATTTGTGCTCTGAGCTGCCCCCAATAAATCCCATGACATGTCATGACATTCCAGGTCTTTCCCAGGTGTTACGAGAGCTGTCAGCACAAGCGATGCTGCCGGGCTGCAACCAGAGGTCAAGTCGCACTCATCCCAGCCGTGATCTTCGAATATTTGCGACGGAGTTTTCACCCAGGCTACCAGCCTCGTCGGGAGGAAAGGCATCAGACGAAGATGCCGCACTGTCGAAGGCAGAAGAAGAGCTCCGGCCAACGATCATCGTACCTTCTCGGTTCGTTCGCAGGTGTGGCTTGAGGAAGCCCGACGTGCAGTGGTGATCCCAATGCTCGAGACATCCAGTCACGAAGACTTCGTCCAAGAAAGCCTTTTGATGAGGTCTTCGATCCTGATGCAGAACACCAAGACGTTGAGGTGCAGCCAGCTTCGTCTCAGACACTTAGGATCGAATCTGCAATTTCGTGCCTGGAGCGGCTCATGCACACGGTTGGTCAAGGTTTGCCGTATCTTTTGGCACCTGCTGCTCGAGCCCTTCTTCAAAGCCGTTCGGCTTGCGAGTGTGAAGGAGGCGCCTTTCTGAGACTTGTGAACTTTGGACTCAGAACTCCGCTGCTGGGCCAGGGTTTGGACAGGGCCATCTATTTCAGTGGTCTGCCCGAGCCGAAGTGCCTTGGCAGCTGGGCAGCGGAGAGAGCTTCTTTTGTGATGCATACGCAGAGGTGGGCAGACATGCCCTGGCGCATGCCGCCTCCACCTCGTCCGGGGCAGGACTTTACTTGGTGTCGGACTTGGCATTGCCTCGATGTCAATTCTGAGACGCGCAGTGTTCAAGACAAGGAATGGCAGCTGAAAAGGATCGAATGTAACCTGTAACAACTCTGCGTGCGATTTGCAACGGACTGACGGCCAAGCCGACCGACGAGCACGTCTCACGTCTCACGCCTGTTAGGCCGCCTTCGGTAAACACGACAGCTGGATGCGTAGATACGCGAAGAACTGCAGTGGCCTGAGTGAGGCCCCATCATTCCTCGCTAAAGCTGTCACCGTCCACACCGCGTGAGGCGAGCTGCATGCGTGCGGGACGCATGGCAGATCCCGGTATTCTCGTTTTCCAGGTCTTCAATGCCTTGTCTGCGCAAGCACTCCTCCAAGAAGGACTGGCTCCTCAGGCCAGATGTGCCTGAACAATCTCTGAACATTCGTAGCTTCCTGGGCTTACATGCAGCCTCAAGCTTTCAAGTGGTGTAAGCCTTACTCAAAACTGAACTGCAGATCTGCAAAAAAACGACTTGAACCCGGCATGGGGAGGAAGGTGAACACAGCGGAGGTCTCTGGTGCTCTTTCTGCACTGGCCTAAGAGACTCTTTGGTTCCTTCGTCTCTGTGCAGTGTTTGGCTGGGCTGCAGTCTCTTTTCCAGGCTGCAAGCCAGTGCCCGCAGCCGAGTGGGCTTGTGGATTGTGTTCTGCTGCCAGTGCTCCGCTGTTTTTTGCAGGAAGAGTCTCCAAGAGCACTTGGATCGGACTTCTCGCGAGGCCGGCAAAACATGCCCTGCTTTCATGTCCTTTCTGCTTTCGCATTTAAAGTGCAAAATCTCAGACTACGGGAGCCCTCAGGCCCAGGAGCACATGCGAACGAAGATCAGCTGTCAAGCGGTGGTGGACAAGCTTCGAGTTGGAGGCCACAGGGTTGCTCCTCCCTGTTCCCGTCGTAGCCGGTGCAGCAACCAAGCCGATGTGGCGCTTGGGCTGAGCCCTGGCATGGCGCCCGGCAACAGGCTGGCGGCTACGCCGTGAAGGTCTGCAAATCGTGAAGCAGCGTGGCCCAGCGGCGATTGTTCAAAATGTGATTTCCTGTAGACCTCGACAACACCACGACCTTGGAACCAGAAGCCAGGATTTCATTGCGGTCTTTGCAATGCATCGGGAAGCTGGATGCAAATCTGGGATCACCACAGAAGCCAGCACCACCAGAATGCGTGCGCCGACTTCGAAACGAGTCCAGCTCCAAACTCATCAGATTTAAACCAGTCTGTTTGTGGATGCTGGGGGGGGGGGGGGGGGGGTCTAGGTACATGGCCTTGCAGTCGAGTCGCTCACCTGCCGCACTTCAAGCACACAACAACAGCGAACAGTTCAAGGAGGCCGCCTGAATTTATCGGAAGTCCTTGTAACATGCTGCCATGGCGCCCAGCCTCGAAAGGCAGAAGAAAAAGCCTGGCAAGCTGCATTCGATGCCGATCGCAATGCAGTCGTGTAGGCCAGCGTGCGTCGTGCGAGCAATGAAGTCCTCCTTGGAAACATCCCTCTGCTGCAGGTTTAAAGGTTGGGACGCTTCCTTATTCACCGTGCCAAAGGCATGGCTATAGCAGCGTCTGGCATGAAAAGGAGTGGCGCAACTGAATTCCCAAAGAAGGCTTCAGAACTTTTGGTTCAGGCCCTGTGTGGAGCTCCCGGCTCAAGGATGGAAGCTTTAGAGAATGAATTTGTAAGAATTTGTTGGTTTCACCAGCTCCGTGAGCCAAGCTGCGATGACTCAGTCATGTCTCCATCTTGTGGAGCACACTTCGCTCCTGCAACAGCTCTCGAAGAAAGCTAGGTGGCAGCAGGCTTGGGATGCGCAAGCTCACCTGCCGACAAGAAGGATCCACGGGGATCAGATGAGTTGCACTTCCTTGTTGAAGAGCCTGCGGCATCCTGGAAGATGGGATCTGGCACTGAGCTTTTGCAGCAAGCTTGGCCACACCGCCGTGCGGGTGAACCAATTTGTTTTCAACGCTTTGATCAGTACCTGCACCAACTTGAACGCATGGCAGTTCAGCCTGGCCGCATTGATCTGCATGGGCTTCCTTCGTATCCACCAGGATACCATCAGCTACAATACAGTGGCTTGACCGCGCTTGCCTTACTCAAGACGTCCTCCCCGGTAAGTCTATAGTTATAGTAGTGGCAGAGATGGCTCTACTTCTTCCAGGGCAGGCTGCAGGCACTACTTGCAACTTGCAGGAGGAACTCTGCAGGGCTGTGCGCCACTATCCGCATCACGCCGTAGCGAGCCGGAGACGCTCCCGCAGCAGCACAGCAATGCTAGGTCAGTGCAGGAGAAATCCCGGTCGGCAAACGAAAAGGCTCTGAAGGAAATGCCAGGACTGTACCCTTGCACCCCACTCACAAAGCCTTCCGTCATCCAAACAGCTCAATTGCAAAGGTAGGGGCTGATCTGCGTCAGGAGGAACTGCCAGACCTCCCGTCTTCGGAATCCTTTGACAAATACGTTCGGCTGGCCTTCATGCCATCTCATGCCAATATGTGAAAGCCACAGGGAGCACTTAGGGGCTGGTGGACCTGCTATTGCTAGACGTTCTGTTTAAGTTCTGAAGTGCTGAGCGGATCAAAAAGCCTGAAGATAGCATGAGCTGCTCAAGGTGGTGGCTGCGTGTGCGACGCGGCAGCTGGATGCGTGGCAAGCTGCTCTGGGACTACTGAAACTGGACTTTGCCAGAGACACGATCAGCTCGGCTCTCAGCTGCAAAAGTTAGTCCTCTTCACTGCGTGGGGGGAGGGGGGGTGTTTAATTGATCAGGTCAAAGCGCCGCTCTTGCCGGTTGCGCCAGCAATAGCCTCTGGCTTTGTGCTTTGGTGCTGCAACACGAGACAGTCGATTCAGGCATCGAGACGAACACGATTTCATGGAACACGTACATGAATGCCTTAGAAGGAACTAGCGAGTGGGGCCTATTGCTGGAAGCGCTACGGGGCATGCAATGTATCAGCCTCAAGCCATCCCCAACAAGTCTCACTCCTGTCGTCAACGCAGTCGGGGCTTTGAGTTCTTGGGATCGCGCAATCTTTCTTCGAGCAGCTTCTGGACTCTACGATCTCATCCTGCTGAACAGTGCAATATGTGCATACGGCGCGGGGCACCAATGGAAGCCGGCCCAGTTGTGCCTGGAGGCGATGAGGGAGATGCGCTGCTACGACAAAGCAAGCCTCAGTGCAGCGATTACATCGTGCGAGAAGGCGAGTGAGTGGCGGTTTGGCCTCCAGCTTGTGCGGGAGCTCAGCGTTCCGGATTCTGTCGGCCGCCATGATGCAAACTGGATTTATACACTCAGGATGATAGCTAAATCCTCTTCGGGCCTGTTCGGGGCGAGTTGAGTAGATAAAGGGAGTCGTTCATGTTCTGTGACTTTCGCTGCCAACAAGTGGACTCCCTCGGCTTGTTTCTCTTGTCTCCTAAGTGAACCTTTGTTTGCATCCGCATCCGCATCCGCCCGCCCACACGCACGCACGCACACACACACAGCAAACGCGCACGCGCGATCGTGCACGCCCATGCGCACATGCGCACATTCACATATACATACATACATATCGTATCATACATACGTGCATACATACATACATACATACATACATACATACATACATACATACATACATACATATTGTATCATAATTTATCAAACATACGTACATACATGCATGCATACATACATACATACATACATACATACATACATGCGATATGTTGCATACGTACATAATTTTACATACGTACATACATGCATACATACATGCATACATGCACACTTCACCACACTACACTACACTACTTTACAATACATTACGTTACAATACAAGACATTACAATACATTACAGTACATTATATGCATACATACAAACATACATGTGTATGTCCATGCTGCCATGCAGACATGCAGCCTTGGTTTTTGCTTGAATGCCACACATGGAGACATGCATGTATGTGTAAATGTAAAGACTGTATATATGTATGTATGGATGTACGTATGAATTTATGGATGGATGGATGGACGGACGCACGCACGCACGCACGCACGCACGCACGTATGTATGCATGCATGCATGCATGTATGTATGTATGTATGTATGTGTGTATGTATGTACGTATATGTATTCACATACATGACGGCTTCTTACCGGTGGCGTTTAGATGGAGAACCTTCTGGAAATATGTAAATACAGAGCAAGTGTGCAGATCGATCACCGGATGATATCATGGAGACCGCATGAAGATGCGGATCTAGCCACCTAGATCTATCTATCCGCGCATCTGTCCATGTTCCAATAATATACATATATACATGTGTGCTTTTCTGTGGTGCGTATGCACACAGATGGTAAGGGAGATAGGGGTTGTGGCTGTCTTGACATGGAATTCACCCGGAATCAGATCAAAGAAGCGCAGTCAGTCTGGCAATACTTGCAGATCAGGTTTTGGCGCAGCAATGAGCGTGGCCGAAAAAGCTGGGCACTGGCAGATAGCCGTCAACCTTCTTTGTAACTGGGCGGAATGGCTTGTCATTGCTAGGTGTTTGCGCACAGTCTGCATGGAAGTTGACATTATGCAAGACACAGCTCTATGCGATGATGTCGGTTTTCTAAGACACCTTTGCCGGGACACTGGGAGCGGCAGCCCAATGAGGTGACTTGCGTTTGCAAGAAGTGTGGGGCTTAGTGCCTGAGACGTCATGCTTGAAACTTTGATCCGAGCAAGGTCAAACATGTTGCCGTGCCGCGAGGTGGATGCTGACGAGATCCATACCACTGCTTGTATCAGTGCATGTGAGAGGGCAGAGGCGGAGAAGGCCAGCCGCCTTGCCTGGTCGGAGGGAGGCCCGGCAAGAGCACAGCGTGGACACCAAGTCCAGCCAGATCCAGCCAGCTACGAAATGAAAAGAGCGCAATTGAGAGGTTGTGAGCTCAAGAGTCGTTGCTCACGAGTGTTCCAACGAAAGCGTGTTTCCCATTCGGCTCAGCTGGCACCCGGACCTGCAAAATGTGCTGGCGGCCTTGGTGTTCATTGACGGACTAAAAGTCGAGAAGGCACATTCCAAACTGCTTTTGGGGTGCACTTCGACGCCTTCATGTACAGTTTATGCATGCCGCATAGTCTTTACATATACAGTCAACCGCAACCCAACTCATCACGGAGAGGTTTGCTGAAAATTGATCTGGAGCACAAGTCAGCGCAAGTCTCGCACGGGCGTTGCCCGTCTGTCTGACATATGTCATTGTCATTGTCATTCTATCACAAGGCAGGGATAGGTCGCCAAGAGAATGCTGGCTGGTTCGACCGTCATGAGATTGCTGCCCTGCGGAATGGCACCCAAACGGCTGTAGGTGCGGAAGATACCTTCATGCGGTAAGCAATGGGGGGCCTGTCATGTCGCCCACAATGCGCATCTACTGGCACACCAGCAAGTCTGCAGTGGAAGCACACACGGAAAAGCTCATCCAATTATGTGCTTCTGTCAGCTTCCGATTGTTCAACTGCAAGTGAGCGACAGGCTTGTTGTAGATCCACAGGGGAGCCCCCAGCATACGCGGACTGTGCGCATCCAGTGCTTCCCAGTCCGTCTACAGTGGAAGCACACATGGCAAAGCTCATCCTAATTATGTGCATCTGCCGGCTTCGCATCCCCCAAAGCCGTGTACTTGCGGAAGAGAAGCCAGGGGAGGCCTGTCATGTTGCCCACAGCATATGCGGGCTGTGCGCATCTAGCGGTGCACCAGTCCGTCTACAGTGGAAGCACACATGGCAAAGCTCATCCTAATTATGTGCATCTGTCAGCTTCAGATTGCGCAACTGCTGGTGAGAGACAGGCACGTTGTGCTTCGCCCCCAAGATGTATGCGTGCCGAAGTTAACATACAATAGCCATGGGGCGAGGCTTGTCGTCTTGCTAAATCATAACACCTGCGGACTGTGGTCTACAGCGGAAGCATGTGGAAGCACATGTGGCAAATCAAATCTTATCCTAGTTCAGATTGCGCAACTGCTGGTGAGAGACACGTGCATGTGCATCCCCGAAAAACCTGTACTTGCGGAAGATGCAATCAGACAGTAAGCCGTGCGGGCCCACAGCATATGCGGACTGTGCGCATCTAGCGGTGCACCAGTCCGTCTACAGTGGAAGCACACATGGCAAAGCTCATCCTAATTATGTGCATCTGTCAGCTTCAGATTGCGCAACTGCTGGTGAGAGACAGGCACGTTGTGCTTCGCCCCCAAGATGTATGCGTGCCGAAGTTAACATACAATAGCCATGGGGCGAGGCTTGTCGTCTTGCTAAATTATAACACCTGCGGACTGTGGTCTACAGCGGAAGCATGTGAAAGCACATGTGGCAAGTCAAATCTTATCCTAGTTCAGATTGCGGAACTGCTGGTGAGAGACACGTGCATGTGCATCCCCGAAAAACCTGTACTTGCGGA